AACCACTAAAGAATCAATACATGAAAAAGAACCAACCATTAAACCAGTTCAAGAACTAGAAACCACTAAAGAATCAATACAAGAAAAAGAACCAACCATTAAACCAGCTGAAGAACTAGAAACCACTAAAGAATCAATACAAGAAAAAGAACCAACCATCAAACCAGCTCAAGAACTAGAAACCACTAAAGAATCAATACATGAAAAAGAACCAACCATCAAACCAGCTCAAGAACTAGAAACCACTAAAGAATCAATACATGAAAACGAACTAACCATTAAACCAGCTCAAGAACTAGAACCCACCGAACATTCAACACAAGAAAGGGAACCAATCATTAAACCAGCTCAAGAAATGGAAAAATGTACAGTGACACCAGAACCTACAAGGAAGATAATGCTTGTGCCAGAACCCACAAAAGAACCAGCACATGATGCAGGACCCATTCAGAAACCATCTGAAGAAACATTGTCCCTTGAAAAATTAGCACAAGAAATAGAACCAACCAATAAATCAGCTGAAAAAACAGAAGAAGTGCCTATCACAGAAACACTAGTACCAATAGAAGAACCAACCGAACAAATTAGTACTTTCATAAAGCCAGCAAAAGAAACTCAACCCACAAGTGAACTAGGCCCAGAAGTAGAATTAACCAAACAACCTTTACAAGAATTAGAACTTGAAAAAGAAGTTGTAGAAACAATAAAGCCTACAGAAGAACTTACACAAGAAGCAGAAGCTGGCAAAGGACCAGAAAAAAAAGAAGAACCCACCAGAGAACCTGCCCAAGAAGTAGAACACTCAACAAAAACAACACATGAAATAGAAATCTCCAGAATACCAGATAAAGAGCTTGACCTCTCCAGAGAATTGGTGCTAGAAGAAAAACCCACTAGAGGTCCATCAACTGAAGCAGAAGAGGCAAAGGAGACAGCAGAACCAACTAACAAAGCAGATCATGTTGAAAGAACTGAGAAGAAACCAGAACCCACAGTGAAAATAAAACAGGAAGATAAATCTGTGGATGAGAAAGAGCCCACAACTGGAGCTGAATCAGAAGATAAAACCCATGTTCTTCCAGCAACTGTAGATAAAACTCAAGAATCAGCTGAAAGTGGAACTTTGGAAGATAAGGAAGATGGAACGTCTGAGGCCACAGAAGATACAACTGAAGGAAAAGAAAGAACTACGTCAGAAGTTTTAGAGGAGTTGGTTGTACCAGAGACATCCAGAAAGTCTCAAGATGAGATTACTCCTGTAATTGTTTCTGAAGACATAAAAGAACTATGGCTAGGTACAGAGGTGAATGAAACACTAGAGGTACCTGTCAGACCTCCAAGTGATTCTGAGATATTGGTTCCACTAGAAACCACCAAGGAGACCACTCCCCAAGTGGCTGAACATGAACCTGTTACAGAATATGCTCCTGGAATTAAGGGGGAGGTTGTCTTTGAGGATTTGAGTAACACAACTTCTGAGGTTATGACTGAAGTTCATCCAGGGACGATTTCAGTGGTAGAAACCATCAAGCAAGTCACTCCTGAAGAGGTTCCGTCAAGCGAGGACGGTGCCCAGGCACCCGAAGATGTTAATGAAAACATACTGGAGTCTCCAGCAGTAGCTACACCTGAGACCCTTGAAGAGTTTACTCCAGAAACAGTTGTTGAAGCCCCAACAGAGAGTACACAAGATACAACAACAATAGGAGATTCTGCCTTCGAGGCCACAATCAAGTATGTGGTGGAAACCAACAATGGCAACTTCCCAGTTCTAACAAAGATGACCTACGAAGAAGATGACAATTTACTTGGAAACAACGGCTTCTTGTTGGAGAATGAGCAGAACTCTGTAAGCTGGCACTATTTAGTTACTTTTAACAGCCAGGGCCTGTTAAGACCCATGATAACATCAAATCATCTCCTTTATGCCCAGATCGGTAACGAGATAGACGACACGTTGCTTCGACCCCCACGGCCCTTGAAGGACCAGGTGGTGGAGCTGAGGATCAAGCTTAGAGGAGAAACTTACAACGATGCTCTGAGGGACCCAACCAGCTTCGAGTACCAGCAGCTGGCCCGACAGTTCAAACGCAAGGTGAGTGCCGCTCAGAGACGACCTTTAAATTTGAAGGAATGGTCTGGTATGGTGTTGATTGTTATACCCGAGCAAACCTAACAATTTAATTTTTTACCCTAAGTTTAGAACCATTGTGTAAGAACAAATTTTTTTTTTTCTGTGACCTGGTTGGATTTTACATTTATGAGGGCCGTCTTTGAGTGTTTGATGAATGGCCTTCAAAACATCACAATGTGTAAACGTTAAATACAGTCACTAATAAATACAGGTTGCTATCAGAGAAATATTATTCATTTGGATTTTTGACCTCATCCACTAATTGATACCCTATAAAGGAGGCAAAGTAAAAAAAAAAAACCCTGAAAGTCTTACCTGTTATATCAAAGTTCATGTTCAATAATCCAGGTAAAAACAATACAACAAAGTTAAGTCAGGTCCTCTGGACGGTTTCTTTTTTTTTGTTCTTGAAACGTTTCATCTTTCATCCCAAAAACTTCATCAGTCCGAGGAGCCACAATGAACTCGGTCTTATAAATAGCACCTTACATAGTGGGTCAACCAGTTTGATGGTGCTAAGATGGTTTCTGGAATCCGCCCTCTCCTCTACCGTCTTGTCTGAGGCAGCCATGGCCAAAGTGGTTCAAACCATCAAAGTTCATGCCAGTTTACTAGTTTATTGCCTGTTTTACTGTCTACAAATGGGTTTCTATAGAGTGCATCTTTCTCAGGTGTCTAGATGATGACACTGAGTTTGTTGGGCATCATTCTACACTTAAACACCGGAATAGGTCACTCACTGAATAGACCTGTTGGTTAGGTGTGCAACAAGATGTTGTGGTTGTATGGTTTCAAAGTTGGAAACTTTCCAATGGCAGTTTATAACAAAGTAACATGAATTTATGGGAATTAACAGAAATTTACGAGAGTAAAGGGAAATGCACCCATTTACGCTCACCATTTAAATGATAAAACAACATTTAAGTAGTCATGTTCAGTTGTGTTCATAAATTTAGAAAATTATGAAAACAATGAAAATAGAGAACCGTGAAAATGTTCCAACTACTGTATTGTTCTATAAAAGTTGTGTGGTTGTGATCTTGGTGTCATAAACGACGTCATCAAATGCAAACTAGAAAAATTGCATTTCCTAAGAAAATGCAGTGTGAAAACTTATTGCTGGAGAACTTGCTGAAAAATAGCTGAAGAAAATATGCTGAATTTTATCTGAAATGGAAGAACAAGCTTAAATTAGCAGGAGAAAGCAGAAAGAACACATAGTAGCGGAATTAGGTTTAAATAAGCAGAAATAAGTACAGAAATTATGAAATTAGTTATAATAGGCTGAAATTAGAAGAAAAAAAGAGCTGAAAAGTAGCTAAAAAGGCAGAAAGAAGCTTAAGCTACCAGAAGGAAGTGGAAAAAGCTGAAAGTAGCAAAAAATAAAGAAATGTGGAATTAGCTGAAAAAGATAAAAAATAGCATAAAACAGCTAAATAGAAGCTGAAATCATTGAAACTAGAAGAAATAAGCTTAAAGGAACATAACAAGCTGAAATTAGTAGAAACAAGTTAATTAGGCTGAAAGTAGCAAGTTGCCACAAAAAAATTAATTTATCTGAAAACAGCTAAAATTACCAGTAGCTAAAAAAAAATACTAAAAGGTAACTGAAAACATATAACAAGCTTAAATTAGCAGAAGAATGCCGAAAGAACATGTTTGCCCAATTAGGCTGAAATAAGCAGAAATCACAAAAAAACATATCGACATTATCTGAAAAACAACAAAACAGAAATTAACCACAAAACAGCTGAAATGTAGCTTAAAAAAGCAGAAAAAGCTTTAATTACCAGAAGGAAGTGGACAGAACACATTTTTGATGAATTAGGCTGAAAAAAGTTTAAATGACTGCAAAAAAATGTGGAATTAGCTCAAAAGCTTAAATTAGCATAAAATAGCTAATAGCTGAAATAGCAGAAAAAGCTTAAACTCGCAGAAATGAGCTGAAAAGAGCATAATAAGCTGAAATTAGCAGAAAGACGTTAGAAGAAGCATAAAAATGTAGTTAGCTGAAAGAATCTGAAAGGAGCACAAAACAGCTAAAAAACAGCTGAAATTAGCTGAAAGTAGCTGAAAAAAGTTTCAATTTGCACAAGGAAACTGAAAGAAGCTGAAGCAGAACAAAATGTGAAAGGAGCAGTAAAAGCTTGTAAACAGATCTAAAGATTTGAAGGATGTAAAATGAGCTCAATTCATTTTCTATGAGGAAAAAGTGGCAGAAAAGGTTAAATATTTCAAAAAGCTAAAGTTGCACCAATACCAAAAGTCAAAGCACCCTTCTCATGAATGAGCTGAACGTTTTGTTATATGATTTGTTGAAATAGCTTAAAAACTGCGGAACGAGAAAGATGCTGAAAAACGTACAGAAGAAAAATGGATCACAATAGAGTGAATGCTGCGTAAACATTCACACAAATAGGATATCAAAACTTATTTTAAGAAACGTGTCAAACTCATTATCTGCCTTTGACAAAACAAAATGTTGATATTTTTGTTTGGATATGATACGGTTTGTATAAATTATATCCAATTTCTACACACCGGTAATTGCCATAAAATTTCCTAATTCTCATGGAAGGTTTCCCAGGAACTTAACAGATGTTTAAAGCTGTCAAAAGTCTTAGACCCGTCTAAAGCTTTTGACACTGTGGATCATAACATCTTGTGTCATAAGCTCTTTTTCTCAGATCACACCACTAGTTGGTTCTCTATCTCTCAGATGGGAGGCAATGTGTTCAACATAATGGTACTTCCTCCCGTTATTTATCAGTCAGCAATGGTGTACCACAAGGCTCAGTCTTAGGACCCACCCTCTTTACAATCTACATAGGTAATGTAGGTCAGAGCATCCATGATGCATCCTTGCATTTCTTTGCTGATGACACAGTTATTTATTGTTGAGCTAAAACAGTTGCTAAGGGTCTCCAGCTTTTGCAATCCACCTTTGACATCATCCAGTCAGATTTGTTCCATCTCAGACTTGTCCTAAATGCCGATAAAACCAAAGGGATGTTTTTTTTTCAAACAGGAAGTCGGTCCCAGCAGTTCTTCCTCTGATTTTATCCTCAAATGGTGTCCCTATTGAGATTGTCGATTCCTATAAATGGCCTCTCGTTTGACTCGCATCTCTCTTTTAAGCTCCACGTGGAAAACTTGGTAAAGAAACAGAAAGTTAAACTGGGTTTCTTTTTCAGAAACAGATCCTGTCTAACTCTGAATGCTAGGAAACGCCTTGTGACCGTGACTTTCCTTCCCTCCATTGATTATGGTGACATTATTTACATGAATGCTCCTACAAGAACCCTGCAGATGTTGGATGCTGTCTATCATGGTGTGCTAAGATTCATAACTGGCTGCAACTATTGTACCCATCACTGCACCCAGTATTCACTGGTTAACTGGTCATCATTAACTTCACACAGACTCTCTCACTGGTACATTTTCATCTTTAAATCACTTCTTGGTCTGCTGCCTTCATACATCTCCTCCTACATGTCTCTGCGTGAGTGCAGCTACAGCGTGCGCTCTCAGGACATCATTACCTGCAGTGTTCCCTCAGTGTGAACTGAACTAGGAAAAAGGGCCTTCTCCTACTCCGCTCCTGTTTCCTGGAATATCTTACAAAAAGATCTGAAGCTCTCGACCTTGACCTCTGTAAGTGGCTTCAAACATCTGAAGTTCCTGGCAAGAACCAATGCAGACATGTTTTTCTACATCACCTTATAATGTAGCTGTTTTTTTTATATATTTTTTTATACTTTTCCTTTTGATTGTCATTTTAGTTGCTGTTTTGTTTTGATTTGTAAAAAAAAAAATTTAATATGTGGGCCTCTTTTATTAATGTCTACTGTTGTCGTTGTTATTCACTGTTATCCTAACTCTTTGTTAAGAAATCAGGTCTCTCTTGTAAATAAGTCCTCGAGGCTCAATGGGATTAACCTGTCTAAATAAAGGTTGAATGAGTGAAAAAAAAAAAAAAAGCCACTTAGAGAGGTCAAGGTCGAGAGCTTCAGATCTTTTTGCAAGATCTTCCAGGAAACAGGAGCGGAGTAGGAGAAGGCCCTTTTACCAAGTTCAGTCTGAACTGAGGGAACACTGCAGGTAATAATGTCCTGAGAGCGCACGCTGTAGCTGCACTCACACAGAGACATGTAGGAGGAGATGTATGAAGGCAGCAGACCAAGAAGTGATTTAAAGATGAAAATGTACCAGTGAGAGAGTCTGCGTGAAGTTAATGATGTCCAGTTAACCAGTGAATTCAGGGTGCAGTGGTGGGTACGATAATCACAGCCAGTTATGAATCTTAGTGCACCATGATAGACAACATCCAACATCTGCAGGGTTCTTGTAGGAGCGTTCATGTAAAGTCACCGTAATCAATGGAGAGAAGGAAAGTCACAGATACAAGGCATTTCCTAGCGTTCAGGGTTAGACAGGATCTGTTTCTGAAAAAGAAACCCAGTTTAACTTTCAGTTTCCTTACCAAGTTTTCCACATGGAGCTTAAAAGAGAGATGCGAGTCGACCAAAATACCCAAATATTTGTAGGAATCGACAAACTCAGTAGGAGCACCATTTGAAGATAAAATCAGAGGAAGACCTGCTGGGACTGACTTCCTATATGAAAACAACACCCCTTTGATTTTGTCATCATGTAGCACCAGTTTGAGACGGAACCAATCTGACTGGATGATGTTGAAAGCAGATTGCAAAAGCTGGAAAACCTTTGCAACTGTTTCAGCTCGACAATAAACAACTGCATCATCAGCATAAAAAAATGTAAGGATGCATCAGGGATGCTCTGACCAGAATCTTGTAGAAATTCTTCTTTTATTGTCTTCTTGTTTTGAATCCACCTCTTTATTGCCCGTTTTGACGTCCAGGACACTCATAACCAAAGTGACTCGCTTGTGGTTTCCTCGAACTGCAGACTCAGGAGTTTGGCTCCGGTTTAAAGGCCTCTCCTGGTTTTCACACTTTAAGTATCTTCACGCTTTAGTGCTCAGTCAGGTGAAGGCTGCCAGCAGTTATCTGCAGAGAGCCTCCAGGATATGAGCAGTGAGTCATCGATGGAAAAACCATTGCTGCCAGGAAAGCCAGAGCGTCGGTGTTTTCCCGCTCCACTGGGAGGTCTTCGGGCTCCGCTCCACGCTCGTGACGTGGGGAGCCAGTTTATGGTTCGATTGTCGGGATCGGGGTCTTTAATGAGGGAATATGAAGTGGATAACTGCACAAATAGAAACAGCAGGAGTGTGCAGCCACGCACCACTGAGGCCCAGAAATGTTGGGTTGTTCTTCCAAATAAAAGTCTTCAGCTGCAGGCGTCACCATGCAAAAACAATGTAAAGCGTGTCCATATGAGTCCGTTTTACAGAGCAAGACGCTCTCAGAACTGTTTCTGAAAACTTTACTAAACCTATTTTAGTCTCACGCCTCGATGATTCCCACACTTTGTGTGTTTTAATTCATTTTTATCCCAAACTGTGGTTTTCCATGGGATTTTGTTCAGGTCTCAGGAACGTCCCCTCCACAAATCTTCTAAATGTAACCCCTGGATGAGTGTGTTTATACCATGTTAGATCTTCAATTTAACCACTGAATGTTTGAGGTTTTGGTGTGTAAAGTTATTAGAGTTTAACCTCTGGAGAACTGTGGTTATGATGTGTTAAATATTTAGTTTAACCACCGTATATCTGTAGCTATGGTTTATTAATTCTTCATAGGTCAACTCTTGGCTGACTGTGGTTATAGCCTGGTAAACATTTGGGATTTCAATTCAATTCAATTAAACATTATTATTGTTATTTTTTATCTTATTTCTTTATATATTGGTTTTTTTTTTTTACATTTTAGGAACTTATTATGTGAATCTTTTTATCTGTTGCTGCTGTTACACTTGAATTTCCCATCCGTGGTATAATAAAGGCTGTTTCTATTCTATTCTATTCTATTCAGTTTGTTTATATAGCGCCAAGTCACAACAGAAGTCGTCTCAGGGCACTGAACAGAAACATTTATATATAAAAATAATAATTGAACATTATTTATCTGAGGAGCTTTGGGTTTAACTCCATCGCAGAACTCTCATCATGAGCAAGCATGAAGGCGACAGTGGAAAGGAAAAACTCCCTTATGTGGAAGAAACCTTTATCAGAACCAGACTCAGGACAAGCGACCATCTGCTTCAACCAGCTGGGTTTGAGAGGAACAGGAAGGATGAATAGATACACAATGGCAGGTCAAGAATCCCATGTTAAGATAGAAATAGTGTCAAATGAAAACTATTCAATTTTAACAATTCATTTAAGGAAATGAGGTCAATTTGTCGTCTAGCAGTCTAAACATATAGCAGCATAACAAGCCAACCCTAACTATAGGATTTGTCAAAAATGAAAGTCTTCAGCCCGGTCTTAAAACTGGACAATGTGTCAGCCTCATGGACAGAAACTGGAAGTTGGTTCCACAAGAGAGGAGCCTGATAACTGAAAGATCTTCCTCCCACTCTGCTTTTGGAAACTCTAGGAACCGCGAGTAAGCCTGCAGTCTGAGAGCGAAGTGTTCTGTTGGGAAAATATCGAACAAAAAGATCTGTAATATAAGATGGAGCTAGGATTTTGAGGGCTTTGTAGGTTAGAAGTAAAATTTTGAATTCTGTTCTGATTTTGACAGGGAGCCAGTGGAGAGAAGCTAAAACTGGAGAGATATGATCTCTCCTACTAACTCCCATTAAGACTCTTAATTTAGATTAAGATTAACATTAAGATTTAACCCCTGGACCTCTGTGCTATGGTATAATAAACCCTCAGGGTTTAAACCCTGGATCT